ATTGTCTACTTGTATTCTTTGCTCATTTTTTAATTGAGTTATCTTTTTACTATTGAGTTCTTTATGTATTTTGGATACAAGTCCATTATCAGGCTTATCAGATATATGGCTCACAAATATGTTCTCCCATTCTGTAGATTATTGTTTCACTTTCATGATAGTATCATTCAATGTGCAGAAATTTTTAAGTTTAATGAAGTCCAATTTATCTATTTTTCCTTTTGAATCTTGTGCTTTTGGTGTTGTATTGAAGAATCTATTGCCATTAATTAGGTCAAAAAGATGTATTCCTGTGATTTATTCTAAGAGAGTAGCTCTTACATTTAGGTCTATGATCCATTTTCAGTTAATTTTTGGATAAGGTATGAGGAGGGAATCATCCTTTTACATGTGGATGTTCAGTTGTCCCACCATTTGTTGGAGAGGCTCTTCTTTTTCCATTGAATCATCTTGGCACCCCTATTGAAAATCAGTTGACCATATGTAAATGCTCATTTCTGGATTCTGCATTCTATTCCATTGCTATATTCATCTAACTTCATTCCAGACCCACACTTTCTCAACTCCTGCAGCTTTGTAGTAAGCTTTAAGTAGGAAAGTATGAGTCCTCCCACTTTGTTCTTTTTTAAGATTGTTTTGGCTATTTCTGATCCTTTGACTTTCCATATGAATTTTAGAAGCAATTTCTCAATCTGTGTAAAATTCCAGCAGGAATTTTGACAAGATTACACTGAATCTGTAGATCAATGTGGGGAGTGTTGCCATATTAACAATCTCATCCATGAATATGGTATATTTTTCCATTTGTTTAGGTCTTTAATTTCTTTTAACAATGTTTTGTAGTTTTCAGTGTACAAGTTTTAAGCTTCATTTCATTCAATTTAGTCCTAATAATTTTCCTTCTTTTTAATGCTATTGTAAATAAAATTGTTTTTTAAATCTCATTTTCAATTCATTCATTGCAAATTTATAGAAATACAATTGAGTTTTGTATATTGATCTTGTATCCTACAATCTCACCGAATTTTATTAACTCTAATAGTTTTTTACTGGATTCCTTGGGATTTTCTATATAGAAGGTCATGTCATCTGCAAATAGAAATAGGTTTACTTCTTCCTTTCCAATCCGGATGCCTTTCATTCTTTTTGGTGCCTAATTGTCCTGGCTAGAACTTCCAGTACAAAGTTGACAGGAAGTGGTGTGAGCGGACATCCTTGTCTTATTCCTGATCATAGGGGAAAAGCATACATTCTTTCATTAAGCATGATGTTAGCTGTGGGCATTTCATTGATGCCCTTTATCAGGTTGAGGAAATTCCCTTCTATTCCTAGTCTGTTGACTGTTTTGTTTTGTTTTGTTTCAGGAAGGGAAGTTAGATTTTGCCGAATGTTTTTTGAGGCTCAAGGCTATCATATAGTTTGTCCTTTATTCTATTAATATGGTTTATTATATTGATCTTCAGATGTTAAACCCTGCATTCCTGGGACAAATTTCACTTGGTGATGGTGTCTTTTTTAATATGCTGTTGGTTGTGGTTTGCTAGAATTTTTGTTGAGGATTTTTGTGTCTGTTTTCATAAGAGATATTCTGTAGTTTTTTTCTTGTGATATCTTTGGTTTTGGCATTAGGATAGTACGAGCTTCATAGAATGATTTGGGAAATATTCTCTTCTGTTTTGGGGTTTTTTTAGAAGAGTTTGTGAAAGATTGGTGTTAATTTTTCTAAATATTTGGTAGAATTCACCAGTGAAGCCATCTGGGATTTTTGTGTGTGTAGGAAAAGTTTTAACACATTAATTCAATTCCTTTACATGTTATATTATAGGTCTATTTTGATGATCCATACCTTATTAAATCACTTTTGGTAGTCTGTGTCTTTCTAGAAATGTGTACATTTCCAGTGCTCCATATTTTTCATGTGGATTTGAATTATCCTCTGGTGCTTTCATCCTTAATAACTTCCTTTAGTATTTCTTATATGCCAGGTCTGCTGGCAGTGAATTCTCCATTTTCTGCTTATCTGGGAATATTTTTTTTTACCTTCATTGTTGAGAGATAGTTTTATTGCATATAATACTGGGTTAACATCATTGCCTCTGGTCTCCTCTATTTTTGATTGAAAGTCATCTGTTACTCTTATTTGGCTTTTGTTGTACTGACACAATGAGTCATTTTTCTTTTACTGTTTTCAACATTTTTCTTAGTCTTTCAACAGTTTGACTATAATGTGTCTGGATGTGGATCTCTTTGCATTTATCTTACTTGAAGTTTGTTAAATTTCTTGGATTTGTAGGTAAACGTTTCCATTAAATTTTAGGTTTCAGCTATTATTTCTTTGATTATTTTCTTCTTTCTGTGTCCTCTCCCTTTACGATGTACATTTCAGTGGACTTGTCTCCCATGTTTCTTGGAGGCTGCATTCATTTGTCTTTATTCATCTTTCTCTCTGCTCCTCACTGCACTATTTCTACTGATCTATATTCAAGTTCATGGATTCTATATTTGGTGAAACATTGTTCTTCCACTCTCCCTTAGTTCTTTAGACATTACTTCCTTTTGTTCTTGAGCATATTTATAATAGCTGTTTTGAAATATTTGCTAAATCCAAAATCTGGGCCTCCTCAAAAGTAATTTATATCACTGGCTTACCTTCCTGTTTCTCTTCATTTTTCAGACATTTTGTTTGAAACTGGACATTTTAGATCACACATTGAAGAAATTCTGGGTATTGAGTCCCCTGGACCTTGTGCCATTTGCCTGTTTGCTTGTTTATTTGTTCAGTGACTTGCTGCACTATTTCAGTAAATTTTATTTTCCCAGCAGTCAGCTGCTGATATTGCCCCTCAGAGGTCACAGCCTTGGGCATGTACATAGTCACCCTGACCACACAGCTCCTACACCTACCTGAGGAGAGTGGTATTAACCAGGGTCTCTTTTTCTTTTCCTCTGACCTTCCTGCTAAGCTTCTGGTTGTTCTTCCCCCATTGGTATCACACCTGGTTGCTGTGTTTTTGATAATGCCCTGGAGTTCAGCTTGTCTACAGGGTGACTCAGTTAGATTTTGGACCCTTCACAGAGGCAGAGTGCTGCAAGTCTTTGATGCTTCCTCAGACCTCAGGGGGCTTTGCTGTGTTTTTCTTGGACCTCTCTGTTACACTCCTAGTAGGGTTATTGTACTTGCTACTAGTATTATGGAGCTACTAGCTTCCTCTTAATTGCTCACTACCAAGATTTCTGCTGTTTTTGACAATGCCCTTGGCATGAGCTTCCCCATGCTCTGTTCCAAATAAAGCCAGCCCCCTTGGAGAGAGCTATGGAGCTTTCTTTCCTACCTGTCTCTCTGGGAAGACCATTGCACCACTGCAGTGGAACTGGGCCAGGGTGACCCACTTCTCTCAGAGTGACCTTCCTGGACTAAGTGGGTCACTGGATGGTGATGGTAGTTCCTGATCTTCTTGGATTCCCCCTGTCCACATGGAACCTCTGTCCTATGAGCAGCTGGAGAAGGGGCCATTAGGATCCGGTATTCTTGGCCATCATATCTGTCTTTACCCTGTGAGTGGGGAAAGGGGGATGGGGAAGGGAACCCCTAATCATCTTGGCTGCCACTGCATGGAATAGACTTTCTGCAACACAGAGGTATGGGAGGTCCAGTGGCTTGCCTTTTCCAAAGTGAAAACTCCTAGACTGAGAGCAGGGAGGGTAATGAGCTGTGTCTTCTAGGCTATGAAGCTTCTGTCACACTGAGCTGGGGAAGTATTGGGAGAGGGCTGTGGCTCAAATGCCATAGATTTTCACTATTCATATCAAGATTTAATAGATATTCTTGAATAAATGTCTCTCCATTTGTTATATTGACATTAAGACAATTTCCAGATACTTTAAGTGGTTGTTTTTTAAAAATAATTTTCTCCAGTTACATGGTGGTTTTACTGAGGAGAGAGTTCACCAAGCTCCTTATAGCTCCATTCTAGAAGTGTCCATTTGTTGCCTGTTTTTGTAAATGGTTTTACTGGAGCACAGCCATGTCCCTTCACTTATGTTGGTTATAGCTGCTTTTTCATGCACCAATGGTGGAGTGGATTAGCAACAGAGATCATAGCCTGCAAAGTCCAAAATAGTTACTGGTCCTTACAGAAAAAGTTTGTTTGAGGAGGAGCTGCATTATCTTTCTCTCTATGGAAATCAATACTACAAAATCACTGTCATGTGAAGAGGGGATGAAGGAGCATGCAGTCAGAATTGCAGGAAAAGTTGTAACAATTAATTTGAAAAAATCACTGCTCTGTTTTCGGTTATGGTATTGGTCAATTTTCAGTTTTTAATTTTTATGTGTTTTTCTTATTCTAAATCACTATTCCATTTTATACCTAACTTGGTATTTTTAATTATGCAATCTTTTTTTAAGTGGCCCTTACTTGTATGAGCTTCCTCCCCATGGGAGAAAGCAGAGCAGTGTGATCAGATTCAAGTGTAGACCTGTGTTCCCTGCACACCAGTGCTCTGCTTACAATAGTCATGAATTTTTACCATGTCATTCCCCCACCTGGCCTGCACCCTACCCTTGAGAAAGACATCAACTTCCTCTGCCCTTCTTGGTCAAGGGCATTGAGGATTGAAGGTGGAACAGAGACAGGGAAATGGGGATGAGGAAGAGGGCTCTCTAGGGCTCTCTCCAGCCTGAGCAGGGAGAAGCTGTTTGCAAGCAGGTGAGAGGCAGGGTTAGCAATGTGCCAGCCATGCCCAGCTGACCTTCATTTCCATGTATTTCTGTCTGGGGGGACCAAGTGGCAGGACAAGGCATTGAAACTGGTAGGCAGCTAGAGCAGGGGTCGAGGGGAGCAGGGTGGGCCAGCTGGACTTCTAGAGGGAAGAAGGGTCTGCTCTTTCTTTGCCTCCAGGGCCAAGCTGACATCACGGGAAATGCAGGCTGAAGAGGGCGGGCATCCGAGCAGCCCTGGTGTGAGCAGTGGGTGAGGGCGTGACCTTCTGTCTTTCAGCATTGCTTTAAAGGACACTGCATCTGGCTGACACCTGACATCCTCAAACGGGACGGCAACTGGGGTGCCTGGAGTCCATTCGGCTCCTGCTCACGCACCTGTGGCACAGGTGTGAAGTTCAGGACCCGCCAGTGTGACAACCCACAGTGAGTTGGCCCCAGTGTTTCCCTCCTTCCTGGGGGCAGCTGTGGGCCCTGAGTCCCTTGCTAGCCAGCCCTATCCTGCAAGGCCCCTGTGGCTGCACATTAATTCGAGAAGCATTCGAGGGCAGGCAGCCCTGGTCCGTCCACACCATCCCTGGGAGGAAGCTGAGACTTAAAGAGGGGAGGCTCATGCCCAGCCCACAAGGGGCAGAGCCAGATCCGGAGACGGAAACCTGGTCTCCTGATGTGCCAGCCTGGGGCTATTCTCCCACCTGGCCTGCACCCTACTCTGGAGGAAGACATCAGCTTCCTCTACCCTACTTGGTCAAGGGCATTGAGGACTGAAGGTGGAGCAGAGTCAGGGAAATGGGGATAAGGAGAAGGGCTTTCTCGGGCCCCAGCCTGAGCAGGCAGCATCTGTTGGCAAGCAGGCAAGAGGCAGGGTTAGCAAAGTGCCACCTGTGTCCAGCTGCCCAGTGCCCACCAGACTTCCCCAACCACGTTCCCCTCTTGCCTCCTAGGCAGGCCCCAGGCCCTGTTGTGCTGTCCTCCCCTCCCCTGCTGCCCTGGCCTTTTTATTCCCTCCCCATAAATATCTATTGAGTCTGTGTCCCACTCCTCAGCCACTTGCTTTTTCACGCACAGCCCACTCCTGTGAGCCCTTCACCTCAGCCTCACCCAGTGCAGCACCCATGGAGAGGGAAGCTGTGGAGGCATAGTGCCCGGGCCCCGGCCCCACAGCCCCCTGTGGCTTGGGTCATGTCAGCTAGCCCCCAGGCCTCAGGCAGCATGCTTGGTGGGATCATCTGGGGCACGCACAGGAATGTGAGCAGAGCCCCCAGGCACCAGCTCACTCCAGTCTTCCACCTGCCCCTCAGAGGGCCCTGGCTGCTGGGAGATATGGCTTTTGTCTTTCATTCTCTGGTCTGTCCAATGTTTTAAAGATTTTTATTTACATGAAAATATAAAAACTCTAGAATTTCACTCTTTAAAAAAACCATATTTCCAGCTTTCATATTGGGCACCATGGCAACACCAGACCCAAATGCAGGCTGGTGGGCAACAACTCAGGCTGCCCCCTTTATGGGGCAGCCCAGCCCAGCCCAGCCAGCCTCATGCACCTCCTCCATCTACCTGGGCCCCCTCGATACGGGGGTTGGGGCCTGAACCCCTAAGCCTCAGTCCCAAGCTCACCACACGCATGTGGGCCCTGGCCCGGCCTCAACAGGAGCTGTCTGTGACTTTCTGTGCACATGTGCTTTTCTGGGAGCAGGTCCCTAGCTTCACTTGAACTTCTCAGAGGAGCCTCTGTCCCCAAACTTTAAGCCCTGGAGATCTCTGGGGCCCCTCCACATGGGCTGGTCTGCGACCTCTGCAGCAAGTCCCATGCTCTGCTCAGCAGGCTACCACACTTTCTCTGGCCAGGCCCCGAACTGGCCACCAGGGAGCCAGAGCAGGTCAAGTCCACATCCCGGTATGGGACCTGTGCCCCGGGGATTTGGGAGCCTCCCAGGCACCTGTACTTTGGGCTGGCCACCCCAGCCCATGCCTGCAGGGCTTCCTTCCTGCTTCTGACAGCTCCTGCCTGGGGTCCAGGCTACCATCTGGCACAAAGGCAGGAAGGGGGCTCAGAGCTGCCGTGCCATCCAACTCCCCTCAAGCACCCCTGGGGCTACTGTACTTCCTTTGGGGTGAGATTGGCAGGACAGTTCTGCTGGGCGAGGACAGCCAGTCCCGACCACGGTGTGGTGCCTGGCATGCAGCAAGCACTTGGTAACATGACTGGTCTCTGCTGCCCTTCACGTGTTCTTTTAATGCTCTGGGGCCAATTCCAACACAGGGTCCCCCCCAGACACACACACACACACACTCACACACACACTATGAGGTTATCGGACACCAGCAACATGCTGAGAATTCAGCTCAGTTCTGACGCTGTCTGCCCAGATCCCTCGGGTTGAGGACTCTGCCCTGCCAGACTCCCCCACACCCACTTCAGATGCCAGTCCCAAGCCCCAGCGCTACAGATTGGACATTCCCATAACCCCTGCTATCCTGCCAGGTTCGATTAACTTGCTAGAGCTGCTCACAGAATCAGAGAAACACTTTTACCAGTTTATTAAAGGATATGCTGAAAGATACAGGTCAACAGCCAGATGAAGAGATGCACAGGGTAAGGTCCCAAACAAAGGAGCTTATGTCCTGCAGAGCCCGGGGCTGGCTCTGTGGCACATGGAAGCGTTCTGGTCCCCCAAGCATGGAAGCTCTCTGATAAAGGACCAAGAAGCTGTTCTCTTGGATTTTTTAATATTTTTTAATATTTTTATTTTTTCATTCATACTTTAATGTTTAAACAAGGCTAAGGTGAAATTATAGGTGTAGAGTTAGAGTACGACTTTCAGAAATGTTACTTTTTTATCAAAATACTTTTTTTTTTGAGAGAGCATCTCTCATGTTTATTGATCATATGGTTGTTAACAACAATAAAATTCTGTAAAGGGGACTCAATGCACAATCATTAATCAACCCCAAGCCTAATTCTCAACAGTCTCCAATCTTCTGAAGCATAACGAACAAGTTCTTACATAGTGAACAGGTTCTTAAATGGTGAACAGTGCAAGGGCAGTCATCACAGAAACTTTCGGTTTTGATCACGCATCATGAACTATAAACAATCAGGCCAGTTATGATTATTCGTTTGATTTTTATACTTGATTTATATGTGAATCCCACATTTCTCCTTATTATTATTATTGTTATTGTTATTATTTTTAATAAAATGCTGAAGTGGTATGTAGATGCAAGATAAAGGTAGAAAACATAGTTTAGTGCTGTAAGAGGGCAAATGTAGATGATCAGGTGTGTGCCTATAGACTAAGTATTAATCCAAGCTAGACAAGGGCAACAAAACATCCATGGATGCAGAAGATTTCTCTCAAAACAGGGGGGGTGAGGTTCTAAGCCTCACCTCTGTTGATCCCCAATTTCTCACCTGATGGCCCCCCTGAGACTGTGCCTGTCTTAGGTTGTTCCTCCCTTGAGGAATCTTACCCGTCTCTGGCTAACCAGTCATCTTCCGGGGCCATACAGGGAAATGTAAAGTTGGTAAGTGAGAGAGAAGCCATATTGTTTGAAAAGGTTAGCTTTTTACTTTTTTGCAGATTTATGCCCTGTGGCTTCTATGCCCAGCATTTGTCTTGAGGTATCTTTACCACTTGGAAGAATTATGATACTCGGTACTTTCGATATGAGGCGCGAATTCTACTTAGGGGTTGTAATTATGAAGGAAGAAGAGAAGCTATAGAAGTAGCAGACGGAAGAAAACATGGAATCTTGTAGAGTAACATAAGCGTGTATAGGTTTTAAATTACTAATTAAATTGCGTGCACTCCTCTTGGATTTTTGTACAGGCTTCATTACACAGTCATGATTGACTCGGTCCTGACCATTGACTGATTCAACCTCCAGCCACTCTTCGATCACCAGAGTCAGTGGTGGGACTGAAAATTCGAAATGTCTAATCACGTTGCTGCAACTGCCCCCGCCCTTGGGTGGGGTCCAAAAGTCACCTTCATTAATAACAAGACATCCACTTCCCCTTTCTGGCTCTGAAGCATCTCCAGGAACTGTGGATGAAGACCAGATATGCATGAGAAATGTACTTTGGTCATCTGATGACCATATATGTAATTTTTTTATAGATCATTATACCACAAGTGCTGATGGAGTAACATCCAGGCTGCAGAGAGAGCAGATTTGGCTTTACCCCCTTGGCATCCAGGCCCTGATGCCGCATGCTTCTGTGCTCCTTGCTCTGCAACTCCCGCAACTGTAAAACTGGAAACAATCTACAGTCTCCAGATCTCCACTTGCTCTTCCTCCCCCGCCTCCTCCTGTTCACATTCTCTTTTGGACTTCGCGTGGATTTCCCTTGAAATTGTACAGCCCCTGCCTGGGCTGGCTAGGGGTGGCAGGGACACCACACCCACTTTCTGCTGTTGTTCCAGCAGTTGCTGCCCCGATGTCCCCAGGCTTCCCACACCAGCACCCAGACCTGCACCCCCTTCTGGTGATGCTCTTGTGGGTTTGTCACTGGTCTGTGGTCCCATCCGTGGCCCTGGTGCAAACCTAGTTGCTCTGTCATCCTGTCCACCAAGCACTGAGGCCTCTCAGTTCTTTCTCCACAAATTTCTTATATCTTTTCTGCCAGCTTCCCCTCAAGGACATGGCACTGTGCGAGGGGCCTCCGGGAAGCTGGTCTCTTTTCTTGTCCACTGTGAGCAGCTGCCACTGCTTGTCGCAGGCAGAGCAGGACTTTTGCTCAAAGCTGAGGTGGGGCCTCTGACACAACTGGCAGGTGGCACTGTGAGGTGCAGGCCTTCCACCTAATGCTGTGTGGACTGGGGCCACCCAAACTGAAGTGAGAGAATTGCAGAAACAGCAGCCCAAATTCTCTGAATGGAGGAAAGCCAGGAGTGTCCAGGGCATGCTGGACCCTTGCTCTCTGCTAATTCAGAATTGCCCTTTGAGTTCCCGCTGTGTGTCAGGACCAGGCCCATATGTGGAGGAGACACACACAGCTCCTCCATCCTGGGGCTTACAGCAATGGTAGGGGTGGGGGCCAGGAGGCGGGACCTAATCCCCCAGTCACAGCATAGGAGCTGCGGGAAGGGACCGTCAAGACGCGGGAGGGGGCGGATTATCAGCCTCTGCATACTAAATGCCCTGGGGCCAGGAGGCTGGAGATTGCCCAGGTCTGCAGCTGGGACAGGGCAGCGCTGGGTCCCTTCACTCATCAGAGCTGACCCCCAACGCCTAGAACTCAGGGATCCCCAGAACCAACCCCACAAGCAGCCGGAGTGCTGACCTCTTCCGGGTGGCACAGAGACGCAAGGCCTTTGCTTTCTCCTCCAGCCCGGCTAACGGAGGCCGCACGTGCTCAGGCCTTGGCTACGATATCCAGCTCTGCAACTCCCAGGACTGCCCCGACCCGCTGGCCGACTTCCGCGAAGAGCAGTGCCGGCAGTGGGACCTGTACTTCGAGCACGGCAATGCCCAGCACCACTGGCTGCCTCACGAGCACCGGGACGGTGAGCCCAGAGCGGCGGGCGGGGCTGTGCTGTCCTGCGCCGCTGGTGCTGCGTGGGCCAGCTCCGGCCGCACTGGGCTGCCCGCAGAGCCCGCCCTGGCCCGTGTGGCCGCCAGGCCCAGTCCTGGGTGGGGCTGGGGGTTCACCGCGAAACTGCAATCCCAGAGGAGCCAGAAAACTGGACCCAAGCCAAGAATGCAGGGCTGCCAGGCTCCCCCAGGCGCCACCTGGCGGACGAGGCTGGAGGTGCGGCGGTCAGGCCCGCTGAGCTGCGGGGCGCGAGGCGGAGGCGGAGCTGAGATTCCTGCGCAGTAACCAATTTATCTCTGGCCTAGTATTCCAGTCGGGACTCTTCCGTTCCACATGTACAAAGAGTGACTCGATCTAGTTTAAGTATTACATTTATTGGCTCACGAACCTGAAAAGTGTGGTGGCTGCGGGTAGGGCCAAATTTGTATTCCATTCGTGTCCTCCTCTCCCTCCTGAATTTTAAACAGAGTTTCCATTCCTTCCAGGCATTGGGCGGCCGTGTGCAGGGCACGTGCTCTGACAGCATCCTCGGAAGGAGGCTGTGGTTAGTGGGAAAGGTCATCAGATTTTCAAGGATCTGAGACTCCACCACCAAAAACAGCCCCTGCGCAGCTGGAAAAATTTCTTCCTAAATTCAACACCCCAGGGTCGGAAGTGCTGAGGCAGACCTCCCCCTTTTCTTTCCTCTCCCAGCCCCCAGGGTCCTAAGGCCCTCCCGGGAGTTTCTCCCTCACATGGAGCTTCTCTTGAGCCAACTTGGGAAGGAAGTGGGTGGGCAGCAAGCTCTCCCACCTGACACCCTGGTGCTTCCCTTCCAGTCAAGGAGAGATGCCACCTCTACTGTGAGTCCAAGGAGACCGGGGAGGTGGTGTCCATGAAGCGCATGGTGCACGATGGGACGCGCTGCTCCTACAAGGACGCCTTCAGCCTCTGTGTGCGCGGGGACTGCAGGGTGAGTGCCCCGAGGCAGGAGCACGCTGAGGGAGCATGCCGAACACGGCCTGGGCTCAGCTTCTTGGGGTTATCAGGAGGTTTCATGAGGTTAAGCATGGAAAGTGTTGGAAACAGCACCTGGCACAGGGCAGTCTCTCAGCAAGTGCTGTATCCCTTCCCTGGCCAGGGGTTCCCACACTTGAGAACCCAGAGAACTTGGGGCTTCTCATATTCAGAGAAGCTTGGAGATTCTGACTCCATCTGTCAAGCTGGGGCCCGGGAACAAGAACTTTACAAGCTCTCCAGGTGATTCTGAGGCACATGGCCCACAGGTGACCCTGTGTAAGGTGCTGCCACATCCTTGTGCTCTGCTGGGCCCCAGACAGCTTATTCTTGATCAGGGTCGCCCACCATGGCACTCGCTGATTTGGCTCTCTGTAGAAACATCCCAGTGTGTTTCCTGTTATTACATCTTTGGCTTCAATTTTAGGATATCACAAGAAACAACTGTAGGGGTATCTTGGTGTGTGACAGTAACATGAGCATGGACTTGCTCTCTGCCAGGCTCCCTGGAAATAGCTGGAAGCCTCAGCCTCTGTGTGTCTATGTAGACAGGATGGTTGTAGGTATGATAAAGGCTGGTTTCCTGAGAAATGATTGCCCCAAGGAAGTCTGTGGCAGAAAGCCTGACAGAGTGCCACAGGCACCCCTGGAGGGGAAGTGGAGGCCGAAGAGCAAGGAGGTGGGATGCTGGGCAGCTGGTGGTGGGCTCTGGGCTTCTTTCCATGCAGCTGGACCAAAGCCCACTGTGAAGGAGGCGGCTTAGAGATGTGGTGCAGCTGGGGCCCGGGAGGAGGCTGGCTCTGCTTGAGTCTGGCATGGGGGCAGGCGTCACAGTCTGCACAGATGGTAAAACTGAATTCTCAGAAACAAACACAGTGTCTCCTTTGTACCCATGGGATTTTAATTTAGGGAGGGACTGAGAGGCAAGGTTTGACCAGTCCTGGGAGAAGGGCCAACACTATGCACAGCCACGTGGGGAAGCACCAGGTTTGGTCAGGAGGCAGAAAGGAGTGGGGGAAAGCCTAGGCTGGAGCTTTTAGTGGGGTTCCCTTGGGGAAGGCAGGGCAGGACATGGTGAACGGTTTAGGATGGACTGGTTTGAGTGATCCTGGCAGGTTCTATGCTGTAGGGTGTGGGCCCCTCATGTCCTGCGACCTGCCCTGGGATGATCTCAGACAGGGGAACTGCTGGGTTAGTGTGTGAGCGATGGATAAAGGGGGTGGCTGGGGGAACTGGCTGGTTCGCGTATGAAAGTCATGCTCAGGGCCCTCTGCTGTCTCTAAGAATTGGCTAGTCCTGGGAGGGGCAGACCTCCTTGGCCAGCAAGTTTTCTAAGATGTCAAAACATCATAAGGCACAAAAAATTTTTTAAAAGCATGACTAAAACAGTCAGTGAGCACTTAGCTTGGAAGTAGCTTTAAACAGCAGTGGTAAATATGGTTGCAAACATAGCAGACAAGTCAGAGCTTGTTACCATCTTAGTGGGAGTGACTGGAGCTTCATTCCTGACAGATAATTAAAGAATAAATAGGTCAAGTATTTCACTAATTAGTAGTGATTTTGAAGGATAACAGCAGAATGATAGATTTCTGTGTAATTAGAAAACAGGTATTTACATTTATATATGATCACATTGCAGAAGCTAGCAAACAAAGGAAACAGAAAGATCAGAAATGCACAAGACACAGGCAGTAGTCAGACTGAATGTGAGTCCCAACAGTACAAGCGAATGTGAAACTTCTTTTTAAAGAATCCAATTCTGGGTTGAAAAATAATAACCAAGGGGATGCTGCCAGTTAGAGAATATCAAACACGATGATTCAGGAAGGTTAAAAAATAAAATGACAGCAAGAGACACATCCAGAGAGTAAAGATGTGCACGCACGTGTCTGCATGCACACACACACAGCAGGGAATGAAAAGAGACCACGAATTAAGTAAGGCTGAGAGGGTCATTCTGTTTCAGAACAGGGCACAGTCCACTGCCTTGATAAAGTAACAACATGCTACCAAACAAGTCATCCAGAACCACAATGGAATGGAGAAAGTGAGAGAAGCTAGCACATTTCCTGGTCTGACAAGTCATGGATAGGATTTCCATCAGATCAGAAGGAAGGAAAACAGCTCCTCTACTATGCAGCCTCCCTGTGTGACAGACACTCCCGGTCCGCCACCCCTCCTGCTACCAGCATCTCCCACCTTGGCTTGAACTGCAGCAGAGTCAAGCTGTCAGCCTCCCCTGATCTTGGTGATAGCCGGCAGGGGTCACTCAGAGCCCCTTGGCACACAGACACAGGCCATCCCCAACCCGAGCTGTGAACCCCTATAAGGTCTGAAGGGAGATTTCAGGCCCGTAGAAGGATCCTGAGCTTCATTTTCCACTTAAAGTCTTAGCATCATTTTCCCTTAGTTCAGATGCATACCCCTGCGCCAGCCTGACTCTGCCTAGGCCTGGGTGTTCACACCACCTGGGATGGGCAGCAGCATTGGCCCAGATGAAAGCCCACTGTGTCTTACACTCCTGTAGGTGGCAGGCAGGTCCTTTCGACAGTGGCTGTTAGACAAACCCTGATTTCAGAAATAACAGAAAATGAAAAACACGTGTCTTCAAATCAAGGCAAAACAGTGACAGGCCATCTTCATCTCTCTCTAGGTTTTACAGATCAAGTAGCTAATTTGCTCTCCTTTCCTTTGCTCTCATTCTGTGCCTCACAGAACAAAATCTCAGAGCAAGTGTTTTGCAACAAAGCATGTTGGCTTCATTTTTCCTGTCGGGGCATCCACCTCTTCTTCCAACTGCTTGACTTTCCACTTAGTGTCTTGGTACACGGGCTGCCAGTCTTTTCAGGAAGAGCAGAGGAGTGGGTGAAGAGCTTCTAAACCAGAGCTGGTCCTCACCTAATGAACGGGACCCCAGGTGGGCTGGCTGCCGGCAAGCCAGCTTGAGTCTGGGGACCAGCTGCCGGACACGCAGCTTTGCTCTCTGCCTCCTGAAAGCGTGTGTTGGCACCCACCTGTCTCTGCAGCTCTGAGGCTTCCCACTCCTGCTTTGTACTGCAGGAAACCGGAGCACTAGTTCCCCTCCAGTGGGATACTGGAGCAGCCTCCTCACTGGGGAGTGTCCTGCCTGGCCATGCCCTGTGCCAGGCACGTGGGACTGTTTACAAGGACTGTCCCCTCACATCACAATAGCCCCGTAGGCCGGGCTGCTCTGACTCCATGATACAAACATGGAAACACACTCAGAGTTTGAGCAGCACGCCCCTCTAAGACCACACGGCCTGAAAGAGGCAGCTTTGTGCTCTTAGCTCAGGCTTCTCTCCCTTAAAAGACCAGTGCTTTCAGCTGTTTTCTGCCTCTGGTATGTCACAGTGGCTTCCTTTGCTAATTTTTTCCCCTCAGGGATCATTAAAAGTCAGCGTGTTCATTTTACTGTTTTTCACCCTCCTCACTTCCAAAAATGATTCAAAAGGCTTATGACCACCTATAGATGGATAAAACCAAAGACCAACTATGTTTACCCACCCTTCAAAAGTGGTGCATGCACCCCTGCTCTGTAGCCCTGCCCTCAAATTGCTTGTAAGACAAAAGTCAGGAATGAAAGCACAAAGGGAGAGGAAGTGAGTGTCTCTAGAGGTGGTGGCAGGAGGCTTTTGAGGGGAAAATTGGCTCTGAGCTCCCTGGCAGCCAAAGCAAAGAGGGAAGCCTATGATGCTATGATGCACACCAGGACGGGCAGGCAGAGCAGAGCAGCCCAGAGGAGGTCATCTCCCCCGAGCAGCTGGGAGAGTGCTGGGAGTGGGCATGAGTGGAAGCACCTCTGGCAGGGGCCCAGAGTCATTGTCAGGCAGGGGCTGCTTCCCGAGCAGCTTCCACGGCCCTGGGAAGGGAGTGCTGCCAGAGCTTGAGAGAGTAAAGGAACCCAGATTTGTTATTCCCTTTGCCTGGTAGCCCTGGGCAAAAGAATGTCCCCACTCAGAGTGGAATACATTTCACTACTGGAGTGGGCAACATCGATTCATTGAGAGAATGAAAGCAGCATTGTCCCCACCAACTCTTGTCACCTCCTGCCCAGACACCCTGAAGACAGACTGAAGAGGACATTGTGTTCTTGGGGACATCCAGGCCTAAACTTTGGGTAGGAGCCCTGGAGGGGCTGCCCTATATAGCCGTCCCAGGAGAAGGGGCAGGGGCCACGTCTGATTTAGCCATCAGGACAGAAATATTCATTTGAAGGCCTGCTTGCTGGGCCAGTACAGTCTGGGAGGTGGCCCTCTTTAGCTGCGCAGAGCCCTCTGAGGCCACATTGTCCAAACAAGTGAATGAGGTTCAGTGGTGGGGTGCCTCCTGGGGAGCACACAGGGTTTGTCTTGCTCCAAAGCTCCATCTCCTTCCCCTACGCTGGGAGCTGCTAAGGAATGCCCAGACCTGGGCTGTGGAGAGAGCAGGCACCAGGGCCCTGGGGGCACAGGTCAGACCAGGGCCCAAATGGGGGGCTCTCAAATATTCACTGTACCTCCTCCCCCTGCAGAAAGTGGGCTGTGATGGAGTGATCGGCTCCAGCAAGCAGGAGGACAAGTGTGGCGTGTGCGGTGGGGACAACAGCCACTGCAAAGTGGTCAAGGGCACCTTCTCCCGCTCCCCCAAGAAGCTCGGTGAGTGAGCCCCTCCCGCCAGCCCCTGGGGCCTGAGTGTCTGCAGCACCTGGCAGGAGGCAAGGCGGGTGTGAGAGGTGGAGGGAGAACCCTGAGTCAGGGGTAGCTTGAGTCGGGCTCTAGGGCAGGTGGGAGCAGGGAGATAAGGGTCAGTGCAGAGAGTACTGAGGAACAAGTGCACACGGTGGGTCTTAGAAATCTTTATTCAAGAGCAGGGCCTGCAGAGTGCACCCTCCCCTGCCCACCAGGGCCACCCCATCAGCCTGTGGATCCCTTGCTCCTGCCCCAGCTGCCTGTCAGCAGGACTTACTGGGCTCCAGGGCCCCAGGTTGGGTTCGAAGAACTTGGGGTCCCTAGCCAACCTGGGCTCTGGGAAGACAGCCCTCTGGGTGAGCCTCATGCCAGAGTCCAGCTCCCCCTTGGCCCTCTGGGTGGGCCTGCAGCCACTGATGGATCCACACAGCCATGCTGGCACTGGGAGGAGCCGGCAGGGTGGGCCTGTTAGAAGGCCCTGGAACAGACCTGCCAGACCTCTTTCAGAGCTGGGGCTGGGGCTGGGGGCTGGTCCTCACCACAGCCCCACGCCAGCCGATAAGTTTGCAGTTAAGTGGCTTGGGTCCACGGAGAGCAAGTCGTTTGTCTAGCCTCCCTCCTGCATGTGGTACCTTAGCTTCATGCCCAGGAGTGACTCCAGGCCCTTCCATGAGGTTCCTGGTGAGTTCTCAGTGGAGAAGGCCGAGGAAGCACCTGGGATTTGAAGCTGAGCAGAGGGCTGAGGCCAGCTGAGATGCAGTGGCTTTCCCGTCATCCCCTCTGGGGGTGAGCTATCAAGGCCCACCAGACATGGGGCCTCTGTAACCACCTTTGAGGGTGAGGCCCCCCATGCCTTGTGGGAATTCAAGTGGCCTCTCCCCTCTCATTTGGTTTTGTCTCCCCACATTCCAACCAAGGTTACATCAAGATGTTTGAGATCCCTGCGGGAGCCAGACACTTGCTCATCCAGGAAGCAGACACCACCGGCCACCACCTGGGTGAGTCCCAGGACCTGGAAAACAGCATCTCCACAGCCTGGCAATTCTGGGGATGGCCAGCGTGCCTGGGGGCCAGAGGCCACGCCAGGAGGGGTGGCTGCAGCCCCACCCCACATCCCTGGCCCAGCCCACCTGGTGGCCCTTTCCTGCAGCCAACCCCCACCAGGAGCTGGAATCAGAGGCTCCCCTGGCCAAGGCAGAGGCAGGATGTGCCACGTCCCAGCCTACTTAACAGTGACTCCCTATACCCTGTTCCCCCAACCCCGTCTCAAGGCCAAAGGCCAGAGTCGGGGAATGGACCCCCACATCCACTGTAAGAGGAAGTAAGGCAGAGCCCAGCCAGGAGATGGGCCCACACAGTGTATTTGCATATTTTCAAGTTAGTTTCAAGTTAGAATCAAGGGATTCTACTTGGAGTAGGGTTTTCTGGCGTCTCTTGGAAATCTGGATGTTCTAACAACTCCAGGCACCACTGCCCACATGTGACAGCCCCTGCCTGCATGACTGGGCTCGGAGACTGCCCAGGACCTCCTGCAGGGGCTTCACCCATCCTCTGCCTTCCCCCAAAGCATCTAGGCCCTACATCCTGGGTGGCTGTGCCGCTGAAGTCGGAAGTGATGTGGGGGGTCACTGGTGGGACCTTGGATAAGTCCCTTCCCCAGTTTAAAGGCCCCACCTTCCTCCTTGTGTCCTGGATCAACGGCTCCCTGACCGCCACCGTCTGGCACCTTTGCCAACATGCAATGAACACACCACTATCTTTAATATGCATTTCCCTGTCTCCCTTGTTTTAAGAGGAAAGTTTATATTGCTACCCAAAATGCAAAGCCAGTACCACTAGCTTTAAATGAAAGATAAATATAACAGTTGGTTCCAGGGAGGAAAAAAAGACACTTCTACAGAAAGTTTCCTGCTAAAGGCTCTGGGTCTGAGGCCATCTCTGAACCAGAGGAGTGAGGTTTAGTGACAGGCTGAGGACCTCCTGGCACTGCTGAGGCTTTGTTTGCCATGTGAACAGGGGATTACAGGAGACCCATACAGGTGACAGTGTCCTTGCTGTGATACTGTAATGTTCCTGCACTGTCAGTGGCCCCCCAAAAATCATCCGGCAGCCCCCCAGTAGCCACTGTGGGAAGCATGGGGCTTGCAGACTGGCTGGGTTCTCAGCTCCTAGACATTCTCTGTGGATGTCCAGTGGCCCAAGGGCCCCCCATCAGGCCAGGCCTCTTTGGGAGTGTGTGGAACTGGTGGGGCCCCAGTTACTGATGGGGTGGGGAGACCTTGCTTTTCAGTTTACATACGTTCACCCCGTGGCAGGAAGCCCCCACCCAGCCCTGCCCCTGGCCTCTAGCTTGCCCTGCACCCCTGGAGCAGGGAGGGGAGTGTCTCTGAGTGCTCCGAGGAGACGGAGGGGAGGCGGCCTTGATGGCTGCTGAGCAGAGGACCTGTACCTTCAGGGCCTGTGGGGCAGGTCCAGGAAAGGGCTCTGGGCCAGGTAAAAAGGCAAGCGGGGGGAAAAACTGCTTCTGGAGGAGTGGCAAAGGGCAAGGCACACTCCCGAGGTGCTGGCACCTTCAGTGGCACAAACGGGCCCCTGGCAGGGCAGGGGGCAGCTGTAGAGATGAGGGGCTCCCCTCCCACTGCTCCCCTGACCACTCCGAACCAGCAGACCCTCCCAGCCTCCCCTCAGGCTCCCGGACACTGCCTCCGGTCATCATGGGGCGGGGCCTGTCTTCTGCCATTCTCAGCCGTCAAGAACCTGGAGACAGGCAAGTTCATTCTGAATGACGAGAACGAGGTGGATCCCAGCCCCAAGTCCTTCATCGCCATGGGGGTGGAGTGGGAGTACCGGGATGAGGACGGCCGGGAGATGCTGCAGACCACGGGCCCCCTTCACGGCACCATCACCGTGCTGGTAAGTCCGTGCAGGGCCAGGCCAGGCTGCCAGGTGGGAGGTGGAGGCAAGCAGCCACTGGGGAAGGCACGGGATGGAGGGGGGTGGTACCCAGGAGCCCTGAGCTACCCCATCCTTCAGGCCATGCTCTGAACAGCCCCTCTGGACCAAGGGTCTCCATTTCTGTGTCAGTGCAGAGCAGATACGGAGCCTCAAGTCAGGGCTCCAAGCCCTGTGTCAACCCCCTGGTGACTGCCAGCAAACTCTCCCCTCTAAGGCTCTTGGTTTCCTCTGAGTGGCATTCCTAGCCACCTGTCATCATGCCTGTTCACATCCAGACCCCGCAGGGCCCAGGGGTGACCCACGGTGCTTCGGTTAGGCTGCCAGGCTCAGGACACACTGATCTCTGCCCTTGAGTAGGACTGGACCCCGGGTTTCCTGAGTCCAAGACTACAGGCTGCTCCTGGGGATGGGAGTCCAGAGGGGGATTAATTTCCTAATTACTTCCTAAAAATTAATTTTAGTTGCTCAAGTATTTTATCTGTTTAAAAAAAAGTTAGAACACTACAGATAAGGCTCAGGTGCCTTCAGCCCCTCTGCTTAGGTGAGTGCCCTGCGGTTGGGTTTAGGTGCCAGGACCCAGCACACTATACCTGGGCAAGCACCAGTGGGGCCAGTTCTCTGTGTTCTGTGCCACTCACTTGCCCCGCCAGCAGGACTTCGTCATTGCAGGATGCCCTTGGGGACCTGTGCCGGCGTGGACTGTTGGGCCACAGCTGCTGCTGCTCCGGCGTTGGGGAATTCACCTGTTGCTGAAATGTGATCCCATCAGTATGGGCTGTGCCTCAGGGGCACTGAAATATTTAATGGGGCCACAGGCCACAGCCACATTCTGCTTCTTGGTTCCAGCTTGCAAACTGCAAACACTTGTCCTGTTCACAGTGTATTTAGTGCTACTAAATATAAATATAGTTTTTTGCATTGTTATGCTTTTTGGGGTGACTTTGCTGCTTCATGTGGCCCCAAGGGCAGTGCTGATGCGCTGAGTGGCCTTCCTGAGCAGGAGACGCGGTGGCATGCCCCACGGAGCAGGTGTATACATTAGAGGAGCTTCATGCGGCCCCGAGTCACAGCGCGCTGGCCGTGGGGTTGAAGTTCGGGAGTTAACAAAAGATGTCAAAAAAGGTGCCACTAATCAGAAACACACATAAAACAAAGCTATATATTGACAGTTAATGAAAATCTCTTGGCTAGAGGCTGGCCCTGTGTTCTCCTGTGAGCAGTGGTTCAATATTGGCAACCCCCCCAGGGACTTGTTAGAACAGAACTACCTCGAATAATGAGAATTGGCTGTACGTATATCTTGGGCTGACATTTCTAAACTGACTGAGGAAGGATGGAGGGTGGGGCAGACATGTTCATGGCCATCTCCGGGTGCAGGTCATCCCTCAGGGAGATACCCGGATCTCGCTGACATACAAGTACATGATCCACGAGGACTCGCTCAACGTGGATGGCAACAATGTCCTGGAAGACGACTCCATGGGCTATGAATGGGCGCTGAAGAAGTGGTCACCCTGCTCCAAGCCCTGTGGCGGAGGTGAGAAGCCCTGTCATAGCTGGGGTCCCAGAAGAGGTTGGGGGCTGAGCAAGAGGGGTCTTCTGGACAAGGAGCTTCCTGAACTTGCCCTGCTGACTGCCTGGCCCAAGGGATGTGCCCGGCTTAAGAAGACTGGCCCCAGGGACTAGGAAGGCCAAGGAGGGACCTCTGCCTGGATGACAAGCTCCTGGCCCTGCCTGGGAAGCAGCCAAGTGGAGAGGAAGGATGGGTGCTCTGGGCAGCAGGCAGCCAGAGGGGCACGTGTGAGGCTTAGACAATGCCAGCCTGGCAGTGGGCAGAGGGGCTGGCTAGCAGCGCTCATGTGAAGATGGCTTGGATGGCGTCCTGAGGGAGGGCACAGGAGACATCTGGGATGCACTGGATGCTGGTGATGGGCCCCTTGGCAGAGGTCCTGCCCTGTGCTGGTTCCGAAGGGCCTCCTGGAGCTTCCTGGGGCAGGGCTGGTGCAGAAGGGGTCCAGCTGCCCAGGACCTCAAAAGGTTCACAGCTGCGTGGGACATACAGATGGCCAGGGGATTCCGATCTTCCCAGTGTAGTCACTGCTCCTGCAGGCAGGAGAAGATAGCTTGGCCTGGGGAGCAGTTGGCCAGGACAGACCTCCTTCAGGTACCACACAGGGTCCCTCACCTACAGGGCAAAAAGGAGTTTACTGAGGGCAGGGAGACCTACCCCCAGCCCAGATGGACAGCTCCTCTTCCAGTGCTGCGGCTTGGGTGATGGCACCCCCAGCCTTCTGTTGAGCCTTCTGGGCCCCCAGGTTCCATCAGCACGTCCTGGTGATTCATTCTTCCACATCCCCTGTGGGGCCATCTGCTGTTCCTGACTTCCAGCTCACCTCCTCACTCCCCAGCTGGCTCTTGTGTAGTCCACTCTCTCCCCTTGAGTGACCTATTAAAGGTCCTCTCCTAGTGTCATAGTCTTCAGCAGCTCCTGCTCTTGGGATCAAAAACAAAATTCTCCTTACAGGGTTTCTGAGGTTCAGGCAACTTGCTGAATCCTTCCATGGCACTGGCGCAACCACTGATTGCTCACTACTGGACCCTGGCCAGGTGGCCTTGGGTGCCTTTTCTGGGCACACTGTGCTCTTGCCTCAGGGCATTTGCACGAGCTATCTTCTCCCCAAGTTGTGCATCCACCACCTTCCCATTAAACCAGTGCCCCTCCATCCTCTGTTTCTAGAGACACCTGCAAACACGTAGACCAGGTCTGGCTGCCTGGGTGTATCTGGTCACGTCTACCACTAGACTGGGGTCCTGTGACTTGGTCTCTGCTGACATCTGGGCTCCATGATTCTCTGTTGGGGGCCTAGCCCTGCATTGAGAATGTTGAGCCACAGCCCTGGCCTCTCTTCTAGATGCCAGTGGCACCTGCCCCCCAGTTGTAACAACAACTAGTATCCTAGACATTGCCAGATGTCCCTGGGAGCAAAATCACCCCCACTGAGAACTGCCGCATTAGATGTAGTGGGTGAGCCTTGCAGGCCTCAGTCCCTTAGCCAACTCCTGGCTCACACCATGACCGCAAGCATGGTCATCTCCATGGTGGATAAAGGGCTGTGAGAGAAAATAGAACCTTGCTGCCTGCCTCAGGGAGCCAGCCAAGGGGCTGGGGAGAGAGCAGGTACTCAGTGTGGCCCCCCACCCATCCTTAGCCTGGGTGCTGGCTGGGCACCAGGCTAGACAACCCCAAGGTCTGGTTCTGGCGCCCGACGCCCACCCCACGCCATCAGAAGGGTGGGATAAAGGGGCCTGAAACCGCTGGTGGGGTCCCCCCACCAGAGCGGCCGCACTGTCCCACTGAGCCCCTTGAGCTCTCCTCCTCAGGCTCCCAGTTCACCAAGTATGGCTGCCGCCGGAGGCTGGACCACAGGATGGTGCACCGGGCCTTCTGCGACGCCGTCACAAAGCCCAAGGCCATCCGCAGGGCCTGCAACCCTCAGGAGTGCTCTCAGCCTGTGTGAGTGCCTGCGGCCACTAGAGGAAGTGCAGGAGCTGGGCCCCCAAGCAGCTCTGGGCCTTGCTTTCCCCAAGATTCTGTCAGATTCTTTCTCACTCACCACATCTGATGGAGTCTAAGATGCTGCAAGGCTGTGTGGTATGCCCCTGCTTCAGCCCTGCTAAACCAAAACAGTAATGTGCATCTCAGAAGTAGCAACAAGTGGTGAAGCTCCCATGGGGAAACTGAGGCTCAGAGGGTGTCGGACTAGATTCTGGCCTTGTGGTAGGTGTTTCCCAAGCAGTTCATTCCAGAGGCTGCAGCCTTGATCTGCTGGCCCCAAGGTTTGGCGGGGCCAAGTTTCTGGGCCCCAATTCCTTTTGCAGATGGTTTGGAAATAGGCAGGTGGGGGCCATTCCAGGACAGGTGCTGAGGGAGTCCACGCCACTGTCCAGAAACGCTTGTGATGTCAGCAGAAGCTGAGGTCAGAAGGCCGAGCTGGAGCCCAAGAAGGGAGAGAGCCCGGCCAAGTCCCTCAGGCCTGAGCACTTCACACCACCCCTGTTGTCCCAGCATGCGTGGGGTTCATCATCAGCAGGTCTTCGGGCAGGGTCACAGTTGGCCTGCCGAGCGAGATTAGGGGAAGATGCCCCGGGGGAGCAGGCTGCCTTCTTTCCATACACCGGGCCACCACCAGGCTAGTTCTCAGGGGGCCTAACTGTGCCGCTCTGCCCTGGCAGGTGGGTCACAGGTGAATGGGAGTCTTGCAGCCAGAGCTGCGGGCGGACTGGCACCCAGACCCGCTCCGTGCGCTGCATTCAGCCGCTGCACAACAACACCACCCGCTCTGTGCACACCAAGCACTGTGACGACGCCCGGCCCGAGGGCCGCCGGGCCTGCAACCGTGAGCTCTGCCCTGGTCGGTGGCGGACTGGACCCTGGTCCCAGGCAAGTAGCACCCCAGTGCTCTAGACCTGCACCCTTGGCTCCCAAAGCTTGGGTGGGATAAGGCGGCCAGGGCGTCCCACCTCAGCCTGTATATTTCTTGACTGGGCCACATCCTGTAGGTACCACGTGGCCAGTACTGTGTTGAGAAGCCTGGTGGAATGTGTGTCTTTATTCCATGTGCTACAGGGGCCTGGAGTCTCAGAGGCGGCAAGGGGGTTGGGGGGGTGGGGAGCCTAGGCTCCAGGGCTCAAGGGGAGGCCTGGGCTCTCAGCTCCCAGGCTGGAGGCCTGATCTAGAAGGCCAGCCAAGCTTGGAGGAGGGGACATGAGCAAGGGAGGGCTTAGACTTGGGCAGGAAAGAGCATGAGGATGGTCTCGGGCTGCAGGAGTGGCTCTGGGGGCAGCCAAGCCAACGGGAGCACTGCCATCCAGGGAAGCCCACCTGAGCCTGGGGTCCAGGGTTTTCACTGGGGGTGTGTCACAAGTATGCAGCGCCTGCATGACTGACACCAGTCACTGAAGCCCCAGACCCACAGATGGAAAGCAGGCACTTACCATCAATCACATTGTTGGTATAAACTAACTGGGCAGATGGGTACAGTGTGACTCAAGGCCTCGGGTGTGCAAACATGCTCTGACCAGACAAAATGGCCAATGGACCCAGGCCTGCTGAGTCAACCCTTTCCCTCACACAAGATGAGGACTTGAGACTGTGGGCCGGGCTGAGCCAAGGTGTGAGCTGGGCCAGTAGTCCGGACATAACGGTTCCTTTGGCCCTCCCCAAGCGTGAGGCCAACGGGTCTGGGCTACAGGGGTCATGAGGGTGCTGCTGGAGTAGAGCTCCGTGTCCAGAGGGTTCTCTGCCAAAGCCCCCTGGACTGGGTCACAGCTTGCCTGGGGGCCCCGGGCCTCAAGCCTCCTCCAGCCAGAGCTGGGAAGTGCTCACTGAGAACCCAGAAGTGCCAGGCCTGTGCCCAGCCCTGCATAGTCACTAACGTAACTCAGACACAGTGAGAGCTAATAACTCAGAGGTGAGCTGCAGGAGATTGAGGCGGTGGCAGGGCAGGGCAGACCTCTAGCACATGCTTCTCCTTCTGCTCCCACCACCTCCCATGTGTCCTGGAGTCACACACTTGGGGAGCTCTTCCAGGCCCAGCCTAGCCTGCAAGGTGGACCCTGACTGGTGACTCTCGCCTGCAGTGCTCGGTAACCTGTGGCAACGGCACCCAGGAGCGGCCCGTGCTCTGCCGAACCTTGGATGACAGCTTCGGAGTCTGCCAGGAGGAGCGGCCTGAGACGGCCAGGATCTGCAGGCTTGGCCCCTGTCCCCGTAAGCCCTCTGCTGCCCCTGGTCCCCCAACCCCGGCACGCAGTGAGCCCAGGCAGGGATAGGAGAGATCCAGTCTGGGAAATGCAGCTCTTCCCACAACTGGCCAAACTCAGCATCCCTGAACTTGAAGGAGAGGCTGGACTCTGCCAGGCTGGGGCTGGGACCCTCCCCTAGCTGGTCATGGAAGGAGCTGACATTTGCCCTCATCTCTGGGCCAGCCCTGGTAAAGGATGGAGGGGACTCAGCCCATCCCTGCCTTCCTGCCACTCCCTATTGGCCTGGGAGGCGGGAAGCAGGCTCACAGTGACTGCACAGTAGGGGTCAGCTGGGCAGGATGCGGTGTCCATGCGAGTAGGAGCTGTCTGGCACCCTGCAGGCAGAGCCATGAGAACCCCCTCTGCATGCAGATGCCTTGCCAGGTGCCCACTGTGCAATCATCTCCATTGGTCCCCATAATAGTTCAAGACCTAGAGCCTGCCATGGGTCCATCCCCTCTACAGAGGAGAGGAGGGAGCTCGGGGCGGGTGTACCACCCACCCCACACTGGTGGTGGGGGCAGGAGATCTGGAATTCCTGTTTCCCCTGGAGCAGACAGTCGTGCACTGCTCAGCCTGGTGGGCAGGGGGGCAGGAGTAATACAAAGACACAGGCACAGGGCCCCTGTGGGGGCAGTAGCTGTAGCCACCTGGGTAGCTGAGACCCGGATGCATGGGAGGGCGAGGGAGGAGGTAGACCTGGACTGGGGGCTTGGGGCCCCTCTGTGTCCAGGGGGCATTGGGTGCCACACTGGGGAGCTGGGGCCCTCCTGTGGCCCCTCCCCAGGACACCGGGGGACTGTGGAGCCATTCTGCCTGGGGTGAGTGGGTGAGGCCCAGCCTGGTGGCCCAGCAGCCACAGTCACTTTCCCTTCCCTCCAGGAAACATCTCTGACCCCTCCAAGAAGAGCTACGTGGTTCAGTGGCTGTCTCGACCCAACCCCGACACGCCGGTGCAGAAGCCCTCGTCAAGTAACCGGCCCGTTTATAACTCTGCCTCTGCCCTCCAGTGCATGCCCTGCGCCCTGTGGGGCTTGCCGTGGGCTCCTCTCCTCTCTTTCTATGGAAAACTACCCTGACTCTTCCTGAGCGCTCTATCGGTTGAATCTGTTTTCTCTTGGGCCGCTGTGTTCGGCCTTCAGAGCCGCCTGGCTGCCTGGCCCAGAGGGTCAACCTCGCAGGGGCACGGCCCTGGGCACTGGCCTCTTGCTGGGGGGCCCGGACTTGGTCGGCGATGCTTTTAAAGGGGCAAAGATCCGTCTTGGTGCTGGAGGGGCCAGCAGCCAAAGTGCGCTTGTGACACTTGGTGACCACCTCTCGGGCCGCATCTCTCCAGGCTGGAGCTGCAGGTTGGAAGTCAAGGGGGAAGCCTGCCGTCCCCTTCCAAATGCTGCCCACCAGCTCGTTGGGGCCGGAGGGGGCCTCGGGGCGTGCAGCTTCACGCCATGGGCTGGATGGCCCAGCCCTGAATTCCAGCCCCTCTGCTATTGCTGCTGCACCTGTGCTGAATGTGTCCTCCCGATGCGTGTGACTGTGGCCTGCTTCCTGTGGCCTTTGTGTCTAACTCACACAGCCCTTGGTTCCCACAGCCTGGCCCCTGGGGGTGCGGGTCAAACAGAGGAGGCAGGGGACGTGTCCCCCAAGTGGGACATCGGGACACGCGGCCACTTCCCTTCTCTGTCCATTAGTTCCAGTGGCCTTTTCCCATAGTGTGCACGTGACCCCGCCCATGGGGTGAGAGAGTGAGAGCGTGAGGGGCCGATGCAGATGTGGCCACCTGCCCGTGTGAACAACTACAGAATTACCTCAATTTTTATTGCTTTTTTGCTTAGATAAAACTATGTAGAAAATGCCTTAAAGTTGAAAGGTAACAGAAGTGGCTGCTAACCCCAGCTTCCGAGTAGAGATGAGACCCAGGGAGGAGGCAGGTGGTGCACGTCTAGGGGGAGGCGGCCTGGTTCACCCACCTTTTGCCAAGGGTAAGGTTTCTGTCCCAGTGGTCTGGCTGCCCCTCTGCATTCTTGTGCAGATCCAGACCACTGGGCAGTGAGGCCGCCTGTTTGGGGCCCCACTGTCAGCCAGTGCTGTTGCAGGAGCCCCGTGGGCGCCACACAGGGCTGCCTTACATAAGGTTGGCCCGCCGTCCTCTGCGGGACCAGTGTGGCACCCGGGCCCAGCCTCACCCCCCTGTGACCACATCATGCTGGCCCCCGCTGGCCTCCCCTGGGCACTGATTACTATGTAAATACTCAGCGTGTAACGCGTCCCTCACGACTGTTAACTTCCAACTTTGACTAGGCCATGCGAGTGACATGAGTGACTCTGGGAAGGTGCAATATGTCCTGGGCATTGTGCTCTTTGTCTATATGCACTTGGGTCTATCAGGGATATTTTATTAGTGTTTTGTATGTATTTAATGACGTATTGTATAGGTTCCATTGTTGTCGCTTTTCTGGTTTTTTTATGAGACAGTAGTGTGTGCCAAAGTGACTGTGGAAATGACCCTTTATTCTCATTAACAATGAAAAGATTTCCTGTCATGCATCCAACAAATAAACTCAATAAACGTTCAGAAAACTGGGTGCTTGGGTCTGGCATGCAGCTGGCTCCTGCTCGGTTTCTCACGCCGATGACATTTGGGCCCCCTCCCCTGCCCAGCATAGATATGTGGGGTCCCTGGTGCTCTGAGGCACATTTCCACCCCTCAGGCATTTTTCAAAATGTGACAGTGGCCAGTGAAGATGCTCTACCATGATTTTCAGTTCTGAGTCATTGCGCTCAACCAGCCCCTGGCAGGAACGTCTGGGTTCTGCCCAGGGAGGGAGAGGCGCCCATGGCCAGGTGGGGGCTGCACCTGCCTCAGGAGAGTCTGGGTCAGAAGGAGGACGAAGCAGTGGTGGCTCTGGGCCCCTGGCCTGCGACATTTATGAGTGTGGGAGCTCAGCCTTGAGGCCTGCCCCCAGAGCCACAGGGCCTATGTGACCAGCACCAGCAGGACAGGGGCCAGCAGGGACCTCCTGCCTGGGGACCTAGGCCACATCCTGCCAGTAGGCATCTCTCCTCCCCTCCCTGTGAAAGGGTCCTGGGAGGGAGGAGAGCAAGAGAAAGGGGACACCAGAGTCCCAGAGATGGGCTTCCAGGCACAGGGCCAGGCAATAGGTGCCTGCTGTAGCCATGGCTGATTCAGCCTGCCCAGAGCTCTGGCCACTGAAAGCTACCCCAGCTCAGGAAAGACATGGAGAGCAGGACAGCCAATGGCGTCTGACAGTGCTGCATCCACTCAGTGTCCTTCCCAGGAGAGCAGGAGAAGCCCCGCTGAAGGGGCTGCGGGCAGGAGCTGCAGGCAGGCCACTGGCAGCCTGGGGTGCTGTGCGCCCAGGGACACCTTGTCTCACAACCTTTTTGTTGGTGAAACTGTGCCCAAGGCTTGATTGAGAAAAGGGAAAAGAGAAAAGAGATGGCATTTCCTCCATTCCAGCCTTTCCAACTGGGAGATGGGTATGATTTAATTTGGGTGGTGTGTAACTGTGGCCTCGGCCTGTCCTTGTTCTCGTTATCCTTTCTGACGGCCTCGGGAGGAAGCCTCCCATGGCAGCCCCTCTCACCTGCTTGCTCCTCTCTGGCCCAGGGCTTTGCAGGCAAGAGTATCTCCCCAGAATTTTAGGAGTTAAAATTCAACTTAAAAATTGACTTAAGAGGACTTAAAAACTTTTATTTATATTCATCTTTAGGGTCACCTTATTTTACCACACGAGCTTTCCAGGAGTGGTAGTGGTACAAAGTTCTTTTCTAAAATAAATGTTGTTAAAAAAGGAATTCATTTAAAGGCAGAAACTACTAAGCAAATAAGAAGACAGGAGGTATTCAGACACAGCCCAGACAGTGGGGTGCAAAAGACTTGACAAAAAATGGCTTCTTCTCAATGCTTTGCTGTTCTCTGGAAGGCTAGGTTTTGCTAGTTGTTACTAGAAATGGTTGAAGATCAAGTATTATAAAACTGAAATTACTGTCTTCGTAGAGATCTTTCTCCAGTCAGTGCCTGGGGATGGTATAGTTTGCATCTCCATCTCAGAGGCCTCTGCTCAGTGAGCTTCTGACAGATACACAACCATTGGTGTCCTTTTACAAGTGGTTGGAATAATTTTTGAAATTTTTCTAGGCTGATATTTGCACAGCCAAGCTCTGGCCAGGGGCTTTTTCAATTATTTGGTCATTCATTGACTAACTGTAATTTTTAAAAACTTGGAGCAATGCAGCCCACTCTCCAAAGGAAACCGGACACAGAAGTGTAATCTGTAACCCCTGTGGCTGTCACCTGCTGCCTATGGCAAGATTGCCGGTCCCAGTTTGTCCATTTACTAAGTGACGTTGGCTCTCTGCGTCAAGCTCTGATCCAGGCGCTGGGGACACTGCTGAGCCCCTGAGCAGAAGTCAGCACCTTTTTCTCTAAAGGGTTAGACAGTGTTTTACATGTTGCGGGCCACGTGGTCTCTGAGGCAACTACTCGGCCCGCTGCTGCAGTGGGAAAGCGGGAAAGCAGCCCTAGGTAATAAATGAGTGTAGCTGTTCCAGGAATACATTATTTACGAAACCAGGGAGAGGGACTGCTTAGCCCGTGGCTGGGCTGCCCCTGCCCTTAGACCATTGGGGCGCCAGCTTCTCGGGATCCCAGCCTGGTGGGAGGCAAGGGAGAGAGGCGCTCGCGAACTCGCGTGAGGACAGGCGCGGGCGGCCCCACTCCCTGCAGCGCTGCCGGCCCGCCGCTCTAGTCCAGGCCTCTGCCTCCCCCGGACCTGCGCCGGCTCCCAGCGCTCCCGGTCTTAGCAGGCGCCTCAGGCGGCTCCCTGCGGCTGGATCAGCGGCCCCCACACAGCTCCCCTCCTGCGGCTGCTGGAAACGGGAGGGGTGAGCGGAAGGCAAGTGGGGCTCAGCCCCACCCCTGCTTCAGTCAGGGCGGCTCTCCTTTCCTCTGCCTCCTAGGCCCGCCATCTGTGTAAGATTTCATCTCAGGAAAGGGTCCAGCCGGTTTTAAATCCCTGAAAGCCACATTTCAGGATTTTCCAGTTTGATTTCCTGAGTCGGCCTTCAGCATGAGGTACCCATAGCTCCCCCGCCACATGGCGAGCCTGTTCCTCAGTGTCAAGGTCAGGAAGGCCGAGAGGCTTTTCCTGAGCAGCTGGTCTGTGTCCACCTCTCTGCCTCGTGGGTCCTGCAGCCCATCATTTCCTCCTTGTTCGGGCCATTTACAAGCTCAGGGGCCAAGCTGGGTCCAGGGCTGGTGGCACGTGCTTCCCTGCATTTGTTTGCCTGTAGAATTGCTATTTTGAAACTCAGTTTCTCTGGTTTGGACTTCCTCAGTTGTTCACATTTATCGTTTCCACACAGACACATGGATGCATTCATTGATTCACTGTTCTAGGCTCTGGGGATGGAGGGGTGTCCAAGCATAGCCTGGGGCTCTGCCTTGGGGAACTTTAAGGATAATGAAGTCAGGCGTTAGTCACCTTCTCTGGGGTACTAGGAAGGGCAGACCCGTGGCACCGAGAGAGCAGTGCTGGCTCTGGTGGCACTTACCCGCCAGGGAGGTCAGGGGATGCTTGCCTGAGGAGGATGCACTTCAGATGAGCCCAGAGGCAGAGAGGAGAGCCTCTGGAGGAAGAGCGGAGGCACAGTGTGTGCAAAGGCCCTGTGGCCGGAGGGCGTATGCAGAGCAGAGCAGGGTGTCCAAGGCCTGAGTGAGGCTGGGGAGGTGAAGGGGACAGGTTCTCACCTGGAAAACAAGGGGCAGTGCAAGGGCTTCCATCAGAACAGTGATGTGGTCACATCTTCAGTTGAAAAACAGCATTCTGACTGAAGTAGTATTCCTGGGTGGGGAGAAAGAATGGACATAGGCAGGCAGAAAGGAGGCTCTTGCTATGGGTGCAACCAAGAGGCAAGGTAGCTTCACCCCCTGGAGGTGGGAGATAGTGTCTAGGCGGAAACACTGACAGACTTCGAGGTGTGACCAGATAGGGGACATGCGGGGTCGTGCTTCAACAGCCTTTCTCACAGAGGACATGGCTTGGGCTGCGTGCGTGGAGTCTCAGGCACCTTAGTGTCCACAGGGGTTGGAGGGTGTCCAGTAGGCAAATGTATCCAAGAGTCTGAAGCTCCAGGAGTTTGGGGTTAGTGTCCAAATGAGTGGCTTGCCAGCCTATAAGGGAAAGTTATAGGCTGGAGCAGGGGCCAAGAGGCCAGCAGATGTTTGAGCCACTGGCCCTGAGTGGGCGGGGGGTGGGAGTGCTGCTTGTCTGTTATTGCAGGAAGTTCCCATGGGCTGGTGTAGCTTCGGATGTACATGTAGATAGTGCCTGATAGAAGTGGAGCACAGAGTGACTGTGTCAGGTGTGGTTTGCATCCAATGGCTGCCCCTCTCCTCCCCAATTCCTGCCCACCCTGGCTCTCCTGTCTTTTCAGTAAGGGATGGGATCAGTGAGGGGGAGTGAAGGGCACAGCAGAGGCCTGTGTGGGAAAGGTCTGAATGCTCACTACAGAGAGAGGGTAGCTGAGTGGAGAAACACAGTAGGTGGGGCTGGGCCCATTGAGGCCTGTGATCAGGAATTTATAGGATCCACTATCTCCTGTTATGTAACTTATTCTTTGATGCTGAGTGAATTCTTGTAAATCATCTCAATTTTTGTGTTGTGTGGAATGAGATGGTAGGGGAAATGGGAGAGGAGTGGAAATTTTAGGGGAAGACAAACTGAAAAGTGAGTGAGAATAAGTGTTGGATGGGTCAAATTAATCCAACTTCAGATGGAGCTGGAGGGAGGCCAGGGAGAGGAGGGCCACGGGCAGAGAGAGGGACAACTATGGCCTCTGCAGAGACTCAGGACTCTTCCTGGGCAGGAGGAAAGGAGAGGATGTGCTAGGCAGAAGGATCAGCTATGTGAAGGCATCAAGGCATGGAGCACTTTGTTTGGAAAATGGCCAGAGCCTCAGAGTGGCAGGGCTGTGTGGTGGATGGAGCAGTAGCAGGACACAAAGCTGTCGGGTAAGCTGAGGCAAGTGGAAGAAAGCCCAGACAAGTTTTCCTTTAGTACCTTTTCAGAAACAAAGGTCATCTGGGGAGTTTGGGTGAAGATGGGAACAAACTGTGAGTGTGGTGAGGCTCTGGGATTTGCTCTGTTGGGTTTTAGGAATTGGTTCTTTTAGGTTTAATTTTGTTATAGTTACTGCTTATAGACTACTGTAGAGTCAAACTCTGCCAGAGAGTTTCACTGGGGCTACCACTGGGATGTCAAATGTGCAGATCTGATGAAGTCCTGCTCTTTAAGATGAGTTTGGAGTATCCCATAGGAATAGACAGGCCTCATGTCTATCTTTGAGAGATACTGAAAAATCTGGACTCAGCTGGAGCCTGCTTGGAGGAGGGGAGTGTTGCCCATAGCTCGTGTTGGCAGCACTCCAGTGCTGGGGTCCCCGGATGCTGCCCCGTGCCAGAGCTGCTCTGACATCAAAACCACAGACTTTCTGCGTAAGCTCGCTTGCCTCTGTGCTGTCTCTGGGCTATTTCAAGTGCCTCTTCCAGCAAGCTGCTCCCTGTGGGGGAGCAAAGTCCCCCTTATCTTGTCCTTTGGTTATTTGTCCCACTTTTCTCTTTCAGAGGGCCGCTGCCAAGGTGACAAGTCAATGTTCTGTAGGATGGAAGTCTTGTCCCGCTATTGCTCCATCCCAGGCTACAACAAGCTGTGCTGCAAATCCTGTAACCATGACAACCTCACTGACGACGTGGATGACAGGGCAGAGCTGTCACCCGGGAAGCACAATGACATTGAAGAGCTCACACCCACCCTGCCTGTGCCCACTCTAATCATGGAGGTTCACCCTCCACCAGGCCCACCCCTAGAGGTGCCTCTCAATGCCTCAGGCACCAATGCCACTGAGGATCGCCCGGAAACCAACGCTGTCGATGTGCCCTACAGAATCCATGGCCTGGACGACGAAGTCCAACCGCCCAACTTAATCCCTCAGCGACCGAGTCCCTATGAAAAGACCAGAAACCAAAGGATCCAAGAGCTCATTGATGAGATGAGGAAGAAAGGGATGCCCGGAAAGTTGTAATAAAATGGAAAGATAGCATCAATAGCATTTTTTTTCTTGCTTATAGAGATATTCCATGGGATAACAAATCCTGTGTTGTGGAGATGAAGTCAAAATTCCTGATTCCAAATGGTTTTGAAAAAAAGAGAGATAATGACATAAAAAATAATATATCTATATGGTTCTGAGCATGTGACAACTAGGTTTGCAAGTGTGTTTCCCAGCCCCAGAAGGTTCTAAGTCCTGTGCTGGGTAGGGTTGGAGTGGAGAGACATAGGATGGCTCTACAGCCACCATCAGGGAGGGAGGGCAGGAGGGCAAACTCAGAGAGAGGAAGCGTTTGCCGTGAGTTGCTGAGCAGTGATGGGGAATCTTCTTTTCCCTGGTGATAACAATCCTCTGGACACACAGGCTGTCTCCCACCCCAAGCTGAGACACAAGCCCCGTGGGGATTCTCAGGAGAAATGGCGACTTACTTACTAACTGACCAGGCTCTAGGATGAGCACAGTGAGGTTGAGGCGGTGAGTTTGAATGCCAGCACCTTCAGGGGCCAGGCGGGCAGCCAGGATGAGTGTGGCGGCTGCTGGGGACCGTGACCAACCTGCACTGACTCTCGGCTCAGGCCGCTGTTGCTCTATGAGAGCCGGCACCAGCTGCCAGTGCACTTTCTCAGCAGAAGTCTAGGTTTTCATGTGAAAAATCAAATCCTTAAAGGTCAACTCAAAATCTTTTAAGGGGATCTGGAACTCCATTAGGGGCTAGAGCTACCAGGCTGCCACCCCAGTCTTCAGGCTTGGCCTCATGCCATCTTGCGAATCAGGACTTGGGCAAAGCCATGTGGCCCATCTGGTGCTCGTATCTCAGCCTAGTTTGAGCCCAGACGCTGTTTCCTGCTGGGAAAGTATGGATATGGAAATCCTCTAATGGGACTTGGCAGGTCGGCCACATTTCATACATGAGGAGCAGACAGCAGGAAGCTCTGCCAGGCGTCTCTCCTTGTTGCTAACTCTGGCCTCAGCCCTGGGGACTCCCAGGAGGCTCTCTCTCTCCGCAAGTGCAGAGGGATGAGGGGCGCTTGTGCTCTGCTGGGAAGTTGAGTGGTCAAGGCCCAGGACTGTCTCAGAGATGAGGCTGTGTGTGCAGGGGTTTGCTACCACAGACCAGCTTCACTTGTGGGGGACAAGCTTACCCTGTCTGGCCCTGGGGAGTGCCCTCTCCAGTCCTGGCCCCCTGCCAAATCTTAGAAGTTCCACGACAAACTGGAAAAATCTGCCCTCTGATGAGGAGGGTGTTGGGTGGGAGGTGGAAGGGGCCTGCTTCATCTTTTGCTCTTTCTGAACTTCCATTTTCAGCAGAATGATGCTTTGTGAGCTGGATGTGAACGAGAGACAGGAAGGTATACAGGCGGGTGGGGGGATGGTGGCTAATTTTACCTCTTCCCGTGCTTATATTTTCTGAACATGCAGCTTGAACTTCCAAAGCAGCAAGGCCCAGGAGCACATTAGCTCCTTAGCTGGACCTCATAATTCTCAAGCTTTTCATGTTCAGGAAAGTTCTAGAGCCTTATATTGTTGCCATAGATCCTGGAGAACTTTGTTTACTTCCCCATTGTATGGATGAGGGTACTGAGGCTCAGGATAGTACACGGTGGCTACTTTATATCAGTTTTGAGGTGCTGCATAGGTTTGCCTGACCCTGTGATGTGGAGGTGTGTCCCTGTGTGTGGTCTAAGGGACAAAGGAAGGGTATAGGAAACAGAGCTGTACCTGGGATGATGCTCAGCCTTCCAACTGGCTGTAAACCAGGCCCCCTCCTCAGTGCAGTCACCTCCCTCGTCCACCATGTGTCCAATGTGTGCTCATACGTGACCTGGTATCTCAAGGAGCTGGCTGGCTCCTGAGAACCAAACTGGAGAAAACACTCTTGAATCTCTCTCCTAGTATAACTTCTTTAACAAGACATGGTGTAAAGCTCTTTTGCAATCCTGTCTCTATAATTAGGATGGCCACTAGAGAAACTGAGCTTGGGGCCAGTGGAGAGCCAGCTCAGCCACAATCCTGATATTCCAGAGCCAGCATCTATATGTGAGCCCGGGAGGCCATCTAGGTGAGGCTTCACAACACCACCTTGAGACAGAGGTCTCTGTCCGTGACTCTGGACAGTCAGCTGAGGGCCCAAGAGGCATCTCACGTTCATGGGGAGACTCGAGCTGGCATTTTGGGACCTGGCTCGCAGATCTGCTCCTTTAGGAAAACCCATGGAATTTCCCATATAAGCCTTGCATTTGTATTTTAAGGTTTTTTGTCTGTCTGGAGTCTATTAATGGTGCTCAGTAGCAAAGTCTTTATCCGATGAAACGTTATGACTATGTACTCCTCTGTGCGACAGGCTGCCGCTGCATGAATCATCATGGTGCTGAACTCAAATCACATTTTATCTTACTGATCATAGCAACCAATACACGTGTTTTCTGTATAGTAAAATTTGGCTCCTTGATTTTATAACTTATTAAAGTCAGAATGTCTGTGATTTTGCATATCATGTCTGTGTCTGTTTGTTACCTCGACGGCACTACCCGCACCCAAGCCTGAACATGGGTAGACCTCCCAAGGCCAAGAGGTCAAGTGGACACCAGCAGGCCTCGAGGCAGGAGCCCCCAGAAGGGCTGACCCCTCTGCCAGCTCCCAGGAGTCCGTTCTTCAGGAGACATGGCTCAGCTCCCAGGTAAACCTTTCGTTGGAGGCGGAGATGAAGAATCTCTAGACACCACCTCCTCTCTGATTATAATCCCTTCTCTCCTACCATTAGGGTTTCCAGAAAAAATACTAGATGGGGAGTTAAATTTGAATTTCAGAGAAATAACAAAAACTTATTTACTTTTGAGTAAATAATTGGTACATTAAAAATTATTTGTTGTCTCTCTGAGATTCAAATTTAACCTAGTTCTGTTTGCTAAATTTGGTAACCCTACCTATAATCAGCATTCCACTTTAAAGACAAGCCCATTCTCTCTGGCCCTCTTTGATGTAGCAGTTGCTGGGGACAAGGTGGGAGGAAGGGCAGACATGTCCCCTGAGGGCCCAGCCAAGGAGGAGGCAGCCGTGTGTCCAGTGCTGGGGAGAGCTATGAGCCGAAATCTTACTAATCAGTATGGGTATTGAAGTAGCTTCAGAATACACGGGATTTCTCAGCTTGCTCTTCACTGTAATTTGTTTTGACTCTGTTTTCTTGAACAGTTCATCATAGTGGGGAAGAGGAACTTGGAATGGGTGTGGTGAGTGTGTATGAGGGGCAGGGCATTAAGTGGGGCTGGGTGAGCAGAACTGGCCGACACTAAATAACTGCAAATGTAATTCATAACTGATAACCCAGTGAGGTTATTTTAGGAGGCAGGCCTGGTTGCAGAGGGATGGGTAAGAAGGCCCAATCTGCGCTTGCTGAAGAATGTTGAACAGTTAGGAGGAGCCAAGTGATGCGGTTTCAGAGGTGTGGGCCACCTCCTCTGCCCACAGTAAGACCCTGACTGCCAGGACAGAGCCACCATGCGACAGTCACACACAGTGACTTGGACCCTGCTGCACTTTCTTAGCCCAGAGGAACAGAGCGCCCTCCCCTTTCAGTGCGATGTGGCCAGTTCCCTCTGTACCTCATGGCAGAAAGCCCCACCCGAGAGCAGTAGAGGTGCTACATCAGACAAGTGAGGTTTACTCCTAGGAATTAGGGACTGTTTAACTTTAAACCTATGGCTTCCAAACAGATGGTGAGTTAGTGTGAGTTCCCGACTTACTCTGCACAGTGGTGACTGGATTACTCACCCAGTGATTCAGCATAAACATTGAGGAGGCCTGGTGAGGCCGTTGGAACTGGTATAAGTGTGTCAGCAGCAGCAGGTTATTTTGCTCTCTGTTTTGCTGTTTTCAAAACCGTGGGGTGTGGAGCAGCGAGACTCTGCAGTGAGAAACGGCCTGGGGGAAGAGTTGGTAAGTCTCTGTTTCCCCTCCGTACCTTGCTGTGGGATTATCTTTGCCACATTTGCCCAGAAGTTACTAGCATTACTAGCAACAGCTCCAGCTAGATGAGATCAGTTGTGTGACATCAGATAGTATGAACCCAGCTACAGTGAGAAACGGTGGGAAGAAGTGCATGGTGGTCAGCTACGCTCCTGGCCCTTCTCCCCTCCCAGCTCTCAGGCAGCTGGACTAAGACCTACAGAGAGAGACTTGCAGTTTCAGCCCTAACACGGAGTCTGGAAGTCATCGCTCCCAGCCTCACAACAGGAAAGAGGCTACACCAACTGAAAACCACTCGCCTTTCTTAGCTCCATCAGAGAATTGAGGTCACAGGGCATATTGCAGCCCCAAAAACTGAAGTGACAGTGGCTACAGAGACTCACAACCAACGTGAGCCTACTGGGAGAAGAAGCTTCTGGAGCCAGTAAGTGGTAGAAACACTTTAATGGTAATTGACTAATTGCTGGAGGTAGAATGCCTGTTGGCCTATGGGTGAGAAACCCCTGGGGTCTGCAGCCTTAGGGTGCCCCTTACTTGTGTGGGCTTTACCTCCAGAAACTCAATGAGGCTCTTCACCTCTTCATCTTCAGGTGAAGATGGGAGAAAAATCCCCTCGTGCTTCTAGCAGACAGAAGGGAAAACTAGTCATTTTGAAATAGGCCTAGGAGAAAAGTTACCATTCTGAAAAACACCTAGAACAAAGATCTGCTCTGCACAGCAATACTTCCAAGAACCTCATTTCACAGAAGGCAGAAGGGCAACCAGATGCCAGCCCCTTCCAGCCTCCTTTCTGGGGCTGGAAGAAAAGGCTAAGAAACAGCCCAGGGACTCAGATCCACTAACAAAACTGAGATTTAACCATAAGATTACATAATGCTTCCTCTCCCCAACACTTCACCAGCCTATCAATAGGGCTCCATATAAAAACAGTGGATTATGAATAAGAGAACTACAGGACACAAACTGAGAAGGATTCCCAAAGACAACAGGGAGGTGAAAGACAAATGAACACAGACACAGCAACTAGAGCCAATGGAGGTGGCAGGCGCCTGCAGCTATGGCGGGTATTAGCCACTGCCCAGCTCTTGGCAGAAAGGACGCTCACTCTGCAGGCCTGAGTCCCTCGCTTCCTTGTTACCGGATACATCACAGCCAGCTTTCCACACACTAGGCCTGCTAAAAGGTAAGAAAAACAGTCTGAAGAGACAAAGTAAGCATCAGAATCAGACGCGTATGACACAGATTTGGGAGTTCCCAGATAGGTAATGTAAAATAACTATGATTAATATGTTAAGGGCTCTAATGGAAAGTAGAGAACATGCAAGAACTGATGGGTAAAATAAGCAGAGGTAGAAACTACAAGAGAATCAAAAGAACATGCTGAAATCACACACAAAAAACTGCAACAGAAATGAATGTCTCTGGCGGGCTCATTAGTAGACTGGGCAGAGCCAAGGAAAATTAGTGAGCTTGAAGATGCATCAAGGGAAATTTCCCAAATTGGAATGCAAAGAGAAAAAAAGAATGAGAAATGCAACAGGGCCTACTTGTACGCTCTTTTTCCTGCCTGGGATGAGTCCTGCTTCTCTACTGCTGCAGGATCTCTGCCTCATGGTACTTATTCAAGGAGGCAATTCTGATCTCGCACCATGCTCTGCAGTAGTTACAAATCTCTGTTCAATGCTTTTGTGATGGTTGCAGTTTTCTGAATAACATTTATCAAAATTATAACTTAAGGATTATTTCTGTACATGAACACCACCATCAAGGGTTCAGAAAGTGTTATTAGACTAGTTTTTCCAAGAAAAAGTAACTGTACATGTGTAAAAAATATGTTTTCAGCTTTTGGACAACAGGCAACACAGAACTTTCATTCCTGAGGGAAGGGAAACAGACATGAGCCCCTCAACACCCCAGGTTCCTCTCTGGAGGCACTTTCCAGACCAGGTCAACAGAAAAGGAGCCCAATGAGAAACAAGTCTTACTGAGCTGAGATGTGCTGGTTTGGAGTTGCTGTGGTGTCTGCAATCTGTGGTGGAAACTACAAGAATAGAAGGTAGCTGCCCAGAGGAGTTCTAGAAATCTGCAGGTTCTCCAAGTTGTTGGCTGATGCACTGAAAATCTGTGGTGAAAAAGTGCCTGTGGAAGGGCAAAGAACAAATGATGGGGAGCTGAAAAAGAACAAGGTCCTAGAGCTGACAAAAAGCTGAGACACAGTCTCAGCCAGAGAGGAGACCCTGATGAAGGCCCCAGCATTCAGCTGGCAGCACACCAGGGCTATACCTGAGTACCTTATAACTACAGAACTTTATTTCTCACAGGTATGGAGGCTGGGAAGTCCACGATCAAGGTGCTGGCAGATTGGGCTCCTGCGGAGAGCCTTTGTCCTGGTTCATAGCCGGCTGTCTTCCAGTTGTCCTCACATGGCAGAAGGGATGAGAGCTCTCTGGAGCTCTTATAACGGCACTAATCCTGTTCACCAGGGCTCTACCCTCAGAACCTGAACACCCCCCAAAGGCCCCACCTCTAAGTGCCTGACTTAAGTTTTGATGGCCAAGGTATCCATTTCAAAGAGGAATCCATTTCAAAGATGACTATCTCAAATAAACACATTGCTAGCCACACAACAGATAAAGAACCAGGCCACCTCCCCACTAAGGCTCCTTTGTTTTTGAGATGTTGGTTGATTTGAGTAAATGGTCATTTGGGCCATTTGTCTTTTCTCATGGTGTGAATTCCCACTTTTACGTTTTAAATTCACCAATAAAGAGTGATCACAGCACCCTAGGCCCTGACCATCAACTCCAATAAAAGCAGAACACCAGGCTCCAGCACTCTGCCCCTATCTGCAACCTCAGGCATTCGTAACAGATATTACTATCAAAAAACTGAGACTGACACAAAACAAGATACATTTACCTCCAGGTCCAAGCAGCATGAATAGTGAGAGAAGAAAAGCAATGGGGATCCTCCCAACATTTTATCCCACAGTTCCTCTGCCCAAAGATAAGGGTCCCCCTCTCTCAGAAGCTTAGATGCCGGCTCAACCACCATGTACTCACTCTCTAGGAATGTTTGGGAGTGTCAGATTTGTCCTGTTAGGCAGGAAAATAAATATGAGTGGGGTGGAAAGAGAACCAGGCCAGGAAAAAGCCCACTAAAAACACCCAGGGTTAATCAGTTAAAAGGTCAAAAAGCCAGAAGCAACTTGGCCTGGAATATTTGAACACTCCCCAGATAAAGAAGGGTACCTCAGCACAGCCCATGTCTTTATTGTGTTAATCATACAGGCCCAGTTTATTTTCTAACTTTACCTTTATGCTGTTTTTCCCCCCTTTGGCCCTTATCAAGTAGTTTGTAACCTAGGCAACTAATTTACCATGCAGGCCCAGCCATAAACAACATAGTAAAAGGCAGGAAGGATTCCATCTTAAAGATTGTGTTTTAATACCCAGGAAGTTAAGAAGTAAGATTCTTAACATAGTTTTTAGCAAATAGACAGTAACTCAGCCCACCTTGGGGGATG